GACACACAAGTGCTGCTACAACAGAGTGGTTACCAAGAGTTATGTTTGCCCAGCGAAGTGTGGCCTTACAAGCTACAATCCCTGGACCCACAAGTGCTGCTATAACAGGGTGGTTCTCAGGAGTTTTATTTGCCCAGCGAAATGTGGCCTTGCAAGCTACAATCCGTGGACTCACAAGTGCTGCTACAACAGAGTGGTTACCAAGAGTTATGTTTGCCCAGCGAAGTGTGGCCTTGCAAGCTACAATCCCTGGACCCACAAGTGCTGCTATAACAGGGTGGTTCTCAGGAGTTTTATTTGCCCAGCGAAATGTGGCCTTGCAAACTACAATCCGTGGACTCACAAGTGCTGCTACAACAGAGTGGTTACCAAGAGTTATGTTTGCCCAGCGAAATGTGGTCTTGCAAGCTACAATCCGTGGACTCACAAGTGCTGCTACAACAGAGTGGTTACCAAGAGTTATGTTTGCCCAGCGAAATGTGGCCTTGCAAGCTACAATCCGTGGACTCACAAGTGCTGCTACAACAGAGTGGTTACCAAGAGTTATGTTTGCCCAGCGAAATGTGGCCTTGCCAGCTACAATCCGTGGACTCACAAGTGCTGCTACAACAGAGTGGTTACCAAGAGTTATGTTTGCCCAGCGAAATGTGGCCTTGCCAACTACAATCCGTGGACTCACAAGTGCTGCTACAACAGAGTGGTTACCAAGGGTTATATTTGCCCACCAAAATGTGGTCTTGCAAGCTACAACCCGTGGACCCACAAGTGCTGCTACAACAGAGTGGTTACCAAGAGTTACATTTGCCCAGCAAAATGTGGCCTTGCAAGCTACAATCCGTGGACCCACAAGTGCTGCTACAACAGAGTGGTTCTAAGGAGTTTTATTTGCCCAGCTAAGTGCGGCCTTGTTAGCTATAACCCATGGACCCAGAAGTGCTGCTACAATAGAGTGGTTACTAAGAGTTATATTTGCCCAGCGAATTGTGGCCTCGCAAGCTACAATCCGTGGACTCACAAGTGCTGCTACAACAGAGTGGTTCTCAAGAGCTTTACCTGCCCACCCAAATGCGGGCTGGCGAGCTATAATCCATGGACGCACAAGTGCTGCTACAACAGAGTGGTTCTCAAGAGCTTCACCTGCCCAGCCAAATGTGGCCTCGTGAGCTACAACCCATGGAGCCAGAAGTGCTGCTATGGTAAGGTAGTGTCCACAAGTTTCCGCTGCCCGGCTAGATGTGGGGTGGCAAGCTACAATCCGTGGACACACAAGTGTTGCTACAACAGAGTGGTTCTCAAGAGCTTCACCTGCCCACCTAAATGTGGCCTTACAAGCTACAATCCATGGACCCAGAAGTGCTGCTATGGTAGAGTAGTGTCCAAAAGTTTCAGTTGCCCGGCTAAATGTGGGGTGGCAAGCTATAATCCATGGACCCACAAGTGTTGCTACAACAGAGTGGTTCTCAAGAGCTTCACCTGCCCAGCCAAATGTGGCCTTACAAGCTACAATCCATGGACCCAGAAGTGCTGCTATGGTAGAGTAGCGTCCAAAAGTTTCAGTTGCCCGGCTAAATGTGGGGTGGCAAGCTATAATCCATGGACCCACAAGTGTTGCTACAACAGAGTGGTTCTCAAGAGCCTCACTTGCCCAGCCAAATGTGGCCTCGTCAGCTATAATCCATGGACTCAGAAGTGCTGCTACGGCAAAGTAGTGTCCACAAGTTTCAGTTGCCCGGCGAAATGTGGAGCGGTGAGTTATAATCCATGGACCCAGAAGTGCTGCCATAACAGAGTAGTGTCCAAAAGCTTCAGCTGCACGGCAAGATGCGACCGCGTGACTTACAATCCCTTGACACACAAGTGTTGCTATGGTAAAGTAATATCACTGTATGCTGTTTGCTAGCTAGCTAGCACTAAGCTAAAGGATATTTTCCTGCAAGGTTCTTTAGAAGTAACGTCAAGCTTAAACTAGTCAGATGTGTCTTCTCAGATGTGCTGATGGTAACTTAACATTGTAAAACTTATAAGAAAAGAAAAATAAAATTCACTTTTTTACTCTGCAGTTGAAGATGTTCCCAACAACTGACTTTTACCGCTGACAAAAAAATTACCTCGACAGAGGGTCGTAAAAAAACCCTCTCAGTCCCCAAAAGAGTAGAAAAAATATCCATGTGTATGGGAAATGAATCTGACGTCAGTTTTTTTCTTCTATTCTTCTTCCTCTTCTTCTTGTTTAACCTCCTCCCTTTTTGCCGCAGGAAGTTCAAGATTGAAATATCTGCCGGTAACTTATCTTTGCGATTGTTCTGTTCGAGCAGAGGAACTCGAACGTGGAAATAAATCTGACATTTTCTCAAAATATATAACTCGTCGAGTAATACAGAGGAGACTTACATTGTCGATGATTGGTAGATATTTCGAGTGATTCCGAAAATGTTTTTCGATAATTGATCATCATTCCCCTTTATGACTCTTAAGTTATGACTGAGAGTTTTATACTACACTCAGCTTTCGTTTCGAAAAATCTCGCATTATGAGAAGTCATTAAAACCGATAAGACATTGGTACCGTACAGCCTCTAAAATTGCATCATAGATATTTTATATCAGGTAATTGAACTGGGAAACTGCGTATAGAGGTTGTATGGTACTGGTTTTTCTTTACTGACAGTGTCCGGCCGGAGGTAGAAGGAATTACAGAAAAGAGAGTGCTTTTTCTACTAATTATTCAAAGGAATTGCACAACCGAAAATTATCGTGAGAATACTTTGTCATTCAAGATGTCGATGTGGATCGACTCACTCGTAGCTTTTTCAAGGTTAACAAGGAGGGCCTTTGAACTGAAACATGATATGAAAATGGGAAAAATCAGTTTTCACACAATGTGTTTTGTCATGGTCAATTAATCACAAGACCAGACCTCACAAATGATTTGCGTGGAGTTTTGTGACTTCTGTTATATCTCCTCAGATAGATCAGAAGGACAGAGGGAGGAAAACAGGTGGGCAGACATAATTTGGTTAGTTTTCATAAAAAATTTCCACCTTCACAGTCACTGCCTGTTAGTTTCTAAATGGCATTAAAGGAGAAATCTTAGAGCACTTTGGATTAATAATGGTTTTCATGGAAAAGAAATAAAACCTGCTAGTTAGCAAGGCTTAGAATCCTTTTACATAGAAACGTTTACCGATAGAAACCATTTTTGATGGTCATGTGGTGATGAGGTTGTCTTCCTTACATCACAACAATTCATGTAATGATTTGGTGCAAAAAATTACAACAAGACCCAATCATTACTGAACACATTTTTGAGGGCTAGCTTGGGAGAGGGAGAGGGAAGCTACTGAGGTGTCCATGACTTTCTCTTCTTAAGATTAACTTTTTAAAGTCAACAACATACAACATATAAATTGTCACTTTAAGTGAAAAACAGCATGGATGTTAACAACTAAGTAGGTACTCTGAATATGTCAGTGTGACCCCCTCTTGGAAAAAATTATACACTCCAAAACATAATTAGTTGGTACTCTTCTCCATTACTATCTTCTTCTGCCCCTCTTCCCCTTCCAATGTTGTTAATTGCCAAGGTGTTGATGTAGTCGTGAATACCCACACTGAGAGGGTTAGAGGTAGGTAGCAACTGTCACAGTGAATGTGGCTGGGAGTGTAGGTATGCCCCCAAAAAATTGTCTATGGTTCTTTCTGCGTTTGAATTCTTATTAGTAATTCTGCAATGATAGTTTTATCAATTTACTAACAGTCACATAAATCATCGGCGATATACAAACAAACCCGTGTTTAGAACTACAATCAGTCATTCAAGTTAAATCATCGGCGATATACAAAAATTTTATTTTGGATTCATCGTTCAAAGGTCTTGAGACATTGCCAGAGCTGTTTGAATATTAAACTTAGACATTGCTTCAAAACTTCATAGCCCTTTCATGTTCTCTTTCCAGGAAAAATTTTAGTTGAGAGTATGAAGAGAGAACAGAGATGACCTTTTAATTCAAGTTCGTAATATGCCTTCCGTGCGACCTTCCGCTTAAGACTGTTTAAGAATTTTGGGTTTTCTTTTTTCAGTATTTTGAATAAGCCACTTGAAATTGCGCACACAAACTTTTAAAGGCTTCTTTTGTTTTTTAAGTACTTGCTGTGTCTTTTGTCCCCTATAAAAAAGCATGAATCATTTGATAGTTTGCTATGCCAACGTCGACCGCCACTTTGTTTATGGTTGTCAGCTGTACACGGTTTGCTTCTTGTACTTCTCAAAAAGAAAAATTACTCAAAAAAGTAAGCTCTTTCAAGAATTGCTTGTCATTAAGAAAAACTCACCAAAGTAATTTCCACAATACTAGGCTTCTTTTTTTTCCAAACAGCCATCGACTCGCATCGAGTCCGTTTAACAAGACCGACAGACGAAGAAACCACCAAAATTGCACGGCAACCAGCTTTGCGTTTTCTCGCTCATTTTTTGTGATCACGTGCAACCCTAGAAACAGCAGTCATGCAAGGTTTCTTTTGCGTCGATGAAATCATGATTTGGGACACAAATATTCTCACACCGCACCAATAAATTGCGTTGAAACAGAGAGTTAAAACACGGTTAACCATACTGAGATCAAACAATTTATCGAATTACGGGATCAACTTTTGTTTCGATCTGAGCCACAAATTTCAGTTCCAGCTCTTCCTGATCCTGTTTAGTTCTTTCGACAGACTGGTCTCATATATATTTTGACGCCATCCAACTTTCCACAACAAACTCGATCAGTCGAGCACTCTAAACAGGGTTCGATTTTCCTCAAGTGAATCTGTGTTGTTCGGTAATCAGGCTCACATGTAAGGAGTCGTACGATTTTGATGTAAATTAGTTTACAATGAACTACATCACTTCTTAATTTGATTAAGTCCCGGCTGCATTCGGATGAGTTCGATCACCGAAAATTCGATTGGTTACGCGAAGTCAATATAAAGTTAAGTGGTTTGTAAGCAACAGTCTGTGATTAGCGGTAAACATGACTCGCTCACGCTACGGCATTTTTGTGTTCCTCGCAAGTTTTTCTATCCTTGTGTCAAATCTAAAAGCGGAAGGTGAGAACACTTCGCCTCAAGAAAACTTGGTAAAAAGACATGCTGAGCCAGGGACAGAAGAAGACGAGCTTTTTGATGATATTTCAGCGGAAGACTCTAAAGGTAAACGGTTACAAATGTTCGACTTTTTCTCAGTGGTATTTGGCACAAACGATTTATATCTCAACTTACTGATACACATCTAAAGCGTACACGGGATACTTATCTTCGCCTGCCTTAACTAGCATCTGTTTTCAAGATTTAACAGAGTAACTTTGCCTCTTTTAAAACAAATTGTTTGTCTGCCTTTTTGTAAAACATAAATCGAATATTAGCTGCGGCGCCGTTAAGTCCTTAACTCTGACTCACTGACCATAGTTAATAAGTGGATTGTTCACATATTTTAGAGTTCCTCGACTATAAAATCAAAAAAGAAATCCTGTCATGTTTATTGTGACACTGAATAACAATCAGTTGAAACTATTTAAAGTCGAATACAACCTTAGGGCGACAAAATCTTGAAAGAGAATTTGGGTAGAATCCCTTCCCCGGGGCATGAAAGTCGCGGCCAGAAGAGTGAGCTCGTTTCTACAAGGAAGACCACTTGTTCTGGAATCCAATACAGAGCGTTTTTCAGAGCAAAGTCCGGCAAGAAGAGCAAAAGAAAATATCGCGAGGAAACAATGAGACTGTGACGCTAATTAAAGAGCACATTGTAGCAAAACCAAGCCAATCCTTGATTTCTTCCGAAACTATTGAGATTGCGCTATGCTCTAACCATTTGATCACTTCACTAACAAAGTAGAACAAGTAATATCATTTTGCTTTAATTATTGCAGAAAAAGTTACTAGAGTGAAAAGATCTCACTTCTGGTCTTGGACGAGCCGGAGGAGGTCCACAAACAACCGGTATTTCAAAACAAGGCCTCATTGCGAGCACGAAGATCATGAACACTTTAGAACCCGTTGTTGCTCAGGAAAATTCATGGACAACATTTTATTACAGACATGTTGTGCTGGACGCATCGTATATAAAAATATGGTGCCATCTTTCTGTCACACGCATTATGGGTGTGGTCATTTCTGGTTTGATAGCAGCCGCCAAAAGTGCTGCTATGGTTCTAAAGGCGTAGACTGTCAAGATGTCCTACCAACGTGTGGTTTGACGCCATTCAACCAGACGGTTCAGGCGTGCTGTAAAGGCCGATATTTGTATGTGATAAAAAACCAGAAATGCTGTTACGGCCGTGTGATCTCCAGAGGGAGGACCTGTCGACTTTACAATAGATAAAGCACCAGTGAGCGAGTATCCTAGAATCAGAACAAAAATTACCTCAACGAGAAATATCATCATGGATCTAGGGACAAATCATAACTCAACACAGCTAATAAGTAGACCAGACCCGGAGTTTGAAAACGCGAGTGAACAAATTGAGATTGATTTTTGTATTTCTTTTGATGTTTTATTAATTTTAGAGTCTCAGAGAGGGTGGTGCGAGCTTTCTAGGGACGGATCCTATAGTTCAGTAGCAAAACTAATGTATTTCCGTGTAACTTTGGACTCTCAATTAAAAAAAATTATTCCAGTGGGTTACCTAAGTAAAGTGAACTTTAGAGTAGACAGCCGCCGATGTCCCAAAGCAATCCTGCCGCGATCCGATCCCGCCACGATTTCGAATTCTTATGGAAAGTTTTTTTCTTCTATTCTTCTTCCTCTTCTTCTTGTTTAACCTCCTCCCTTTTTGCTGCAGGAAGTTCAAGATTGAAATATCTGCCGGTAACTTATTTTTGCGATTGTTCTGTTCGAGCAGAGGAACTCGAACGTGGAAAGAAATCTGATATTTTCTCAAAATATATAACTCGTCAAGTAATACAGAGGAGACTTACATTGTCGATGATTGGTTGATATTTCGAGTGATTCCGAAAATGTTGAGTACAAATACTTACTTTATTTGCATGCAGTTTTTTTTCTATTTGTCATGTAAAGACGTTTTACTCAGCCGAAATTTTTTCCTGCCGAAAATAAAATTTTTGTTATGGAACAAAGATTAAGCCTAAAATCCGCCAAGTTCATGATCCGATCGATTTTCTTGGTACACGGCAGAGTCAGGAGAATGATATTATGTATCGCAATATCGCAATTTTTTTAATCTTCTGAAACACCCGAAACCAAAATATCGCCATGCTGAAAGCCAGTTGCTTTCCACTTCCGCTTTTCAGGGAACGTAAAACGCTGAATATTACAGCCAGCATATTGGATCTGGAAAAGGAAACTGACCGCAGCAAATGTCTTTCTTTTTTCAAGTTTTTTCAGATGAAACCAACCACCTTATTCTCACCTGTTCCAATAAGACAGAAAATCAAGAAAACGTTTGGGTTAAGTATTTACGTTCTTGTATTTGTGTATTTGTCTTTACTTCCTGTAAAATTTCCTTTTACAGTATAGAGACTAAAGTCCAGTTTCCGTAAATAAAAGTATTATTAATACATCAAAGTAGATACATGTGGTTGTAAGGAAAGCCTTCGAATATTCCTATACTAAAAAAAACATTTGAAAATTTAAGGGGAAAAAAACTCAAAACTCAAAACTCAACTCAACTCAGCAGACGAGTGTCAATGAATGTGCCCACTTCGACGTCATAGTCAAGGTCTCTTAACGTGATTGGTTAAACAAAACAATCAGACCACGTTCGTTGAAATTTCAAAAACTTAAGGAAATTCCAAAATTTTTATTTCTCATTGGCTCATGTAGTAACCTTTTGCTGCAATAACTTTTATTACGCTTTTACGACGTTTGATCGAAATGCACGCTTTAGTTATGAACGCTTTGGTTTTCCTGACGGCATCTCACATGCGAAGCTTATTTTGGCGCGGTCCTTGACAGCCTTGCACACACAACCGAACTAAAGTGGAAATTGCTCAACCTAAACGGTGAAGAATATTATAAGATATTGATCATATTCTAAAAGAGAAAAAAAATTGTGAAATAAAGTAGTGCTTCAATATAATCCATGTTAATTAAGATGCAAACAAATGAAAAAGAATAGTTGTGATTGGCTCCTAACCTTGGACAAATATACAACTGATGGAGCAATTAAAAAAACATAGTCTATATACATGTAACATAACTCACTCGATATAATTTACGTCAAAACCTTGCTTATATTAAATATTTTTTCTATTTTAGAAATAAAGATATTGTCAATTTATTTGTGTTTTTTTTGGTTTTGCAGTTAGAAAAGGAAAATGTTTGTTTTGTCTTGGTAATTACAATAATGGCCTTACACAGCCGTGACTGCGTCGCCGACAAAAACTTTTATTAAAATGATGAACGTAGTTTTATTTTGCGAGAGAACCGATGCCTTTACCATCTTAAATAGCGTCAGACCTCCACTTTAGTATAACATGTGAAAGGCGTCGTGGAGGTCCAAGTAGGAATGTGACTAATTTACTCTTAGGCCTCTCGATCTTAGACTATGCAATATTTGGGGATTTTACTTTGCTGTTTAGCAGAGGGAAACTGAGAACTCTACAAGGCTTTCAAACGCAGACCTATTGTTCTGTCCATTTAAGGCTTTTCTTTCAACACGCTCTCGTAGCAGTCTTCTCCCTGGTTTGCGTGAGGTCCCTAAACTTGGAATAACAAGGATGAGTAAATTTTTCAAAGACAAAACAAATTTTTTCAATTCCCCAGGTGCAGATGCAATTTGTGATGTGTTCCAAATTGCACTCATAATCAATTGATTTCTTGTTACTAATAAACATATAATATAAACTTTTGTACTTAATTCCTATTAACTTCACTGTTTGAGATCAATTTAAATTGCTCTCACTGGATTAATCAGCTGAAATGTTTGCATCACACCATTAATGACATCTATCCATGTACACTGAAGACTCATAGGTTTAGTAAGAGGAAGATTTATCCGATATTGCTTAGATGACGCAACCACTTGAAATATTGTGGAAACGATTAATCAAAATTGACTTAAAGGAGTCTTACATCAACACTCGAACTAAAATTACCTTCAAGTGCATAGTTCTGCCTTTTGCTTTCCGCGCACCTAAATATTATGTAAAACCACCGGCAGAGCCTAAAACCGTATAAAAGCGGGAGCATATCTCAAGAAATGAAACAAATCACAGCGCAAGGCAGCAGAGGAAAATGATGGCACGTTTTGATCTGTTGTCGTTGGCGCTCCTTATTGTTTTATCCTCGCTGACAGTTGTTCGCGCTAATGAAGAAAGCGTTTCCCTCGAAAGCGAGTTAGAGCAGATGAGTACTACCACAAAGTCAGAGGATTCTAACTCATTGGAATTGTTACAAGGTGAGGAGTTTAGGACTTGCTTTCTTTAACCAGTTGATTCCCAAGGGACTAAAGAGGAATTTCTTCTTACTTCATGAATACATTTTCGAGCAGAAAAGTGATGAGAAGAAAAAAAAATATAAATTAAAGAGTATTGTTTGATTCAGCACCAAATTCCCGAGGCAACGGAAATCAAGAGAAACTTATGAGAGACAGAGATTCAGAGATTTGATATTTTGATCTTGCGGGGAGTGGAGAGGTTAAGCAGTCCTGGTGATTCGTGTAGTGACTTAAGAATAATTTCTCCTTACTTCATTAATACATTTTCAAGTAGAAAGGTAACGAGAAGAAAGAAAAATATAGATTAAAGGATATTGTTTAATTTAGCACCAAATTCCCGAGGCAACTGAAATCAAGAAAAATTTATGAGAGACAGAGATTTTGAGATTTGATATTATTAACCTGCGGGGAGTGAAAGGGTTAAGTGGTCCAGGTACACTTGTAAACTTACTATAATCTCTGAAAAGACGAGTATTAATGATTGCTGATCATTGTAATATCGGCTTGAAACCTTGCATGATTGTCGAAATCTAAAAGTGCTAGCAGGCTAGTTTAACAAGAAAAAATTTTCAGAGGGGTGAGATTTAGTTAACATAAAACAGAGTCTGACAAGTAGAGAGCATACATCATTTCAATAGATAGATCAACTACAAATCTTGGATTCTTTAATGAAGAAAGAGGAAAAAGCTGTTAAATCTTTAGACCTGACATTGCTTGGCAGTTTCTAGCACATTGGATTTGTTATAAAGCACTCACGAATCACAGCTAAACAAAACAAGGACAAACAAGACTTTATTAGTGCTTAAAAAAAAGTTTCTGTTTGCAGATGAAACAACTGAATATTATCAGTCGAATTAATTTGGTGTTCTCATTTTCATCCATAGATCAAAATAATGGCTTTAATATAGAGAAGAGACAAAGATTTCGCCCAAGACCTTATATTACCAATCGTGTCTGTCCTTACCGCATGCGCAACAGCCCGTTATGTTGTGCCGGGATGTTAATCGATAAGCCGTTGGTAAAAACCTGTTGCCGCGGGGTTATTGTGCTTAAAGGCCAGTGTGGTCGACGCATGGGCAAATGCGGTCGCACTTTATTTAATCGTAGATATGAGAAATGTTGCCGTCGGCAAGTTATTCCCAGACGAGAGAGTTGTACACGAAAGCGCTGTGGACGAACGAGGTACATGACTTTCTCCCATCAATGCTGCAATGGTAAAGTGATCCCTAAGGGACAGACTTGTGTTCCATTTCCTGTAAAGACCAGATGTGGTAGTGTCCCTTTTAATCCACACAGATACAAGTGTTGTTTTAAACGAGTAGTGCCTCTACATTCCCCTTGTTCGTCTTGGACTCCTTGTGGACACACCTTCTACGATTCGCAACACCAGCAATGCTGTAACGGCCAAGTGCTTTCTCTGCGTTCACCCTGTATACCGTTTAAGTGTGGCGGCCTCAATTTTAATCCACGAAAGCAAAAATGCTGCAGTGGACAAATTTATCCCAAATTCCTGATGTGTCCAAATCCCTATCAACATCGATTTTGTGGAAGCAACGTTTTCAATCCTTCGTTTCAACGGTGTTGCCGAGGATACGTCGTGGCTCCCCTGCGATCAACCTGTCGTAGATGTGGCCGTGACTTTTACATCCGATCTGGCTTCAAATGCTGCCATGGAAACCAAATTGTCCCTAATTTTGTTCGGTGCAATGCGTATGGGTAAACAACATTATGTATTCACTCTGTATGGTTTATCAGAGTTCTGCAAGAATATTTTTATGCTTTTGTACTCTTTTGTAATGTATTAGTGTTTGATTAAAATTTCCCAATTGAAAGAAGCTGAAGTTATAATCCGCAGCCTTTACCCAATGAGAATTTATTGATTTTATAATAAAATCATTTGCAACATGTTTTGAAATCATTTGTAGTCTCCTCGTAATGCTTCACATGGAGTTTGGAATATTTGATTTTTTATGAAAAAAGGTGGCCAGCCAATATCGATAATGACGAAAACCGGGAAAAAAGATGAGCCCATTGGCTTTTAAACCGCCTTGGGTCGTTTAATAACCTCTAAGTTGTGAATTTAACCTTTAAAATCAATTCTTGACAACTCGAACACTTTCTGTCTCAAACCTTGCGTTAACTAAAGCCAAAATTGAAATCCAGGGATTTTCGTCAAACATTTTCTATAATTTTATCCTCAGTTACTCGCAGCCTGGGTAACTTGATCCTTCCTGAAACTTGAACCCATTTTTGTTTCGTTTCGGTAAATTGCTGTACAGTTTTACCCTTTATGCATCGGAAACTATGTGTATATGGTTCATAACCTGCGTTGCTGGCGGTCTGCGATTTTGGGGGCGGAGGGAAAAATGAAAACCGCCCCCAAAAACGGCAGACCGCCAGCAACGCAGGTTACATGGTTCATGGTAAATCATACTGGCTGACAGCACTGTAGTGCTCAATATTGAGCTGTTTTACAGCAGCAAACTATAGAAGTTCCATTTTAACCCGATTTCTTCGTATTGTGGGTAAATTTGATGAAAATGAACCCTTCGTGAATAGATGCACGGTGAATACCATATTTTTCTGACATATGGTTCTTTGTTCTCATTTCTGACTTAATCGAACCTTTTGAATTACCCTTGAAGGTTCTACCTATAGTATAATATAGAATAAGGAGTAGACAAAAGTTATCTCACAATTCAGTTGTTAAATTTTCTGCCTCTTTCCTCGAGTTTCTGTATCATATACATTCTGGACATATCAGTTCAAAAAATTTAAACATCTCTCGTTGCGATATTCTTATGACTGCATTTGCATTCTCCTATTTCTCTGATTGTTCTCACTGAACTCAAATCAAGGTCTGTGGCGCTAATCCAATTTCGTGAAGTCCCCATTAGCAGGAGGACACTCTCAATCGGGAAGCAGAAGAAAATTGTTCAACCAAGTTGTTTAGTAATTTGTTTAGTAATTGTTTAGTAATTGTTTTATTAATTCATTCGTTTTGACAAAAGGCTGACGCTCGAAACGTCAGTTTCGAAACTGTTAACAGTGGCCAATTTACGTTATCAACTCAGTTGATAATACCAAATTATCCTGTTATACTTTCCCACCGACGCAATGGTGGGAGAGTATGACAGTGGAAACTTATCCCTTACTGAGTTGTTTAGTAGCCGTGTAAGGCTGGTATGAATATGAACTGGTCTTTGTGGGAGTTTCAACATGCAACGTCTATTTTTAAGACGTCCATAAAAAGAAGTTTCCCAATTTATGATACAGGATCCATCAACAATGAAAATGAACTGGCAATACAGGTGAAGTGAAGAAAAACGGAAAGGTCAAGGACTGCCCCATCTCACAAACTAGTTTACAAGTATCACACAATCGCTAAAGAAACAATAAATGAAATTCACATCAATATTGAGACTATATCAAGTATTCATCATTAGAGATGACTGACACATCCAATTTAAACAGCTTTTGTCTCGATGAGCAGTTTACCAAAAATAAAACAAACTGATGGTTCTCGAGTCATTTTGATGAAAACCTCAGAGGAGTTTCATAGTTGTGTGGTTTAATCAGCTGCGCCTGACAGGGGAGGAGTGAAAGTTTTGAAACATGGAATCTTGTTGAAGGAAACCTCCGATGGTGGAACAAGGTGTCACTAAACTGATGACTGGAGAATGTCTAGAATTATGACGATTCGTTACAACACATGTTAAATAACAACAAAAAACGCTCATAACTGAACCAGAAACCGATGCAAACGGTAGTGATATTTGAATAATCGGTGGGCTCAAAGTAAGGATTGTACAATTTCAAGTGGATGCCACGATATCATCGAAAAATAGCTCTTTTGTTCGCAGGAGTCTCATAATATCCAGCAGCCAAACCGTAGAGCGTCACACGATCAAACTTGGTTATGCACAGAAAACGCGTATTTTAAAATAGACCCTATATATTTCAATTCCTTCTTACACTTAACCTTTTAAACCCTGACATCAGCATGAATATTCTCCATACTGTTCTTTGTAAATTTCCTAGGGTACTGAAAAGGAGAATTTGTTTAACAAATTCGTGCTTTTTAAGTTGGTGATCATTTCCTTTATTCTTGTAACCTTAACGTTTGATTCAGGTGGGATTTTTTGAGGAGAAATTAGATGTTAGCCACTCTCAGAGGTTAAAGGGTTAATTCTGCATTTCCATTCATTCCAAAATTTGTTATGTTTAAGGATCAGTTTTGATGATTCAACGACAATTTGTTCCATCTTTGGGGTTTCCCCCTATCCATCCTAAGGATGAAGCTACCCATTTAATTCCATTGTATAAAGTCCTGTTACATCTATCTTGATCGCGGACGTTTCTACAATATACACTGCTATCTCGTTTTTGTCGAACGAGGCTGAACCGTATTGCTTGCAATATTGATTTAATTGGTAAACATTATGTTTTCTGTGTCAGAACGGACCTTTAGTAGAAAATCGGGTGTATCAGTAGAAAATGAGTGTTTCTGTTGCCATCATAACCACATTTTGAAAAATAGGAAATAAACTTGTACCAAAGTCATTTTAAGGAAAATTTCACGGGTGCTTCTGCACTGTATAGTTTTATATTTCTTAGGTGGCTTTCAGAATGTGAGTAATATTCTGCTTCTGAAAGAACCACCTCGGCTAAGACATGAGATCGAGGAGGGCTCACTAATACATTAAATATTGTTTCAAGATCGATGACGCATTTTATTTGGAGTATCCATCAAATATCAAGTTGAAATACGCAACATTCAGCTTGAAATAGGTAAGATGAAGCTAAACAAGCCATAAAACTTGAAGTGTTTATGTTAGTTTACCAATTTGTGGAGTTCGATTTTGGCTTTAGTTTGAAATATCAATAAGAGACGTCTAAGCTTATCAGTGAACCTGAAATTCGCTCTGACGAAGAGCTAACGCTCGAAACGTCAGTTTTAAAAGTTCTTGAGGGTGGCCAATTTACACTATTGACTCAGCTGATAAATCAAAGTGAACTTGAACTTAAGATTAAACATACTGACATACAAAAAATGTAGTGCCCCTGATTTCGTCTTCAGGCTGTGAAAGTGGATCTTTTTATAAACTCAGTTGAGTGTTTGATCTTTCAAAAATTTTGCAAGAAATATGATGACTTCACTCCGAATCGAAACGAATATTGATAATTTCTTCTTATCTCGAATTTAAGTCTTCTCAAGTGTGAAATTATTGCTATATTATTGTTGACGCAAATTGAGAATAAGGGTACTCATCAAAATTGATGAGTGATTGAAAACGTGACTTTCAGATTTAAATAGATCTGTCTGTAGCTAGAAGTAAACCATGCTCAGTTGAAGCCCCCTTTCTTGGGAAATTCTTAATTGATCTATGGTGGCAATTGTCCTCGTAGGTTTTCCTATTGAAATCTGATTAAAAAAAGGGGTTTGTACATCTTCTTTTTGGCTGAGCACCACGCAGTTGCGGTCGCAGACACTTTTTGGAATGTTGAGGTTTTCTTCGGTTTTCGTCAGAATATTCTCGACTCTGACGTATTTGGTGAGACTGCATAAGTGAGTTTATATGCTTACACAGGGTTCTCCTTTCAGCTTGTTTCAGTCTTGTTTGACGGATTGCATATATAGATATTACCTATGATACTTCCAATATCTTACGACGCTGGGACCTTTGAAATCCCAAAATGTTTAAAAGCTGAAAAAGTATTCTTGTCTTCCGATCTTTTTCTCTTAAACTCGTTACAAAAGATATTTCCATCTTTAGTTCTTGTCACGCACTTTAATTCAACCCCGATGTTTTTCAGATTTTTTATCCTTGTCTTTAACTATGACTTCAAACAAAGCATTCAGTTGTTTCCCCCCCCCCTGTAAAAATGTACTTACACATCATCACGCAAATCACTTCTGTTGACTATATCACTAACAAGCTGAGGAAATCCTGACAAAAGTTTGGTATCGTATTATTAAGGGGCGGAAAGTTATCGCTGGTGTTTTAAAGTTCTAAATGAAATGTTCAACTTATTCCGGTCAACTGGTGCTAAATTTGCCGTTGAACGCACACCTCTAATTAGGTGATGATATAAAATTGTAGAGAAGCCAAACATAAACAATAAACGACCTGAAAATCTATGTAAACGATAAAGAGGTGCTTTAAAGAGAAACCTGCAGTAATCACGTATCGTGATGTTAATTTAGTACCTCAGGTAAAAATAATTTCGCTCCTTTTTTAATCTGTTGGTATGTATTCTTAACATCAAGCCCCTAAGGGCAATATATGCATGTAAATATAAAAGTTCTGATTTCTTTTTTCAGCGTGGTCAGCGTATATTAAGAGGACGAGGACAGTATATAAGGGAGTGGTTTTTTTCTTTTCTGACATTAGTTATCTGAACTTAGTGTTATTGACTAAAAATGGCCCGTATTCTGTGTGGAATCACAGTTTTAATTCTTGCGCTTTCTCCACTGTTGTTGGCAAATGCCGAAGAGAAGATTTTATCCAGCGAAGAACTTCAAACAAACGACCAAGAGGTCCATGAAGACGAAGCTTTATCTCATTCAAATGAGATGCAAGGTGGTAAGTCAGACCTAAATCGTGGTTGATTCACGTGTCGTTCTATACTTTTCTCATCCTGATTTTCCTCGCGATTTGTTAGCTGCTGTAATCGTACCTGCGTCGAGTGAATAATCCCTAGGAAACCTTGTTAGCAAAGATAAAACGCTGTTACCTTTTCCTTGAATTTTTAAAAGTTATTTTTTCTTCTCTGTGGAGACAAAACTGTTCCTCAAAATGAGCTCTTTATCTGACTGCGAGCTGTGTGAGTGATGCTATTAGTGAGGGTAGTGCACTGAGATTTAGCTGGCAAAGGTAGCATTTATATGCGAATAAAAAAGCCAAAACGTGAAATTAACAAAATGTCATCCTTTTAGGACCCAACGAAAACAAAGAAGATGAAAGTCCCCAACAGGAAAGTGAAGACATCACTGACGAAGAAAACCATGAAGCTGGTAAGAAATTATGTCCATCAGCAAGACACTAAAGGATTTTTTCTCTGTAAAATTAGTAAGGTTTTGTGATGTAATGTTTTGAAATAGCTGTTATATTATCACAGCTAGGTAATGCAAAAATTTGCAAGTTTTTTCGTTTAAAATCGAAATTACCCTTGCAAATCACGACCCCTTAAGACTTATTTCGGAGTTAAGAATTTAGAAGCAAATAGTACGGCTTGATCACTATCTGCACTGCACTGATCGTTTTGGTTCGGCGACGACTACCCTGTTGAAGGGATCCTGGAGCTTGCTACTCTGTTGTAATAGATTTATAACAAGAAGGAGTTTCTGCGCGAGACGAATACCAACGATGTCTAAAACTATTTTTTTAGTCTGTCTAAAGAGTCAATCGATGTTTCACAAATTTCGCGGTTGATTCGCTCCTTATTTACAACTCCCGACTATGTTGTATGTTCATAAACGCTGACTGTGGTAAATGTAAACTTTTCGACAAAATTACTAGAAAACAGTGTATTTATTTAAAAGATAAACCAATTATTTTCTCTGTTTCAATAGAAGTAAGCGAAGATTATAACGGAGAGGAAGACTTTCCGGAAAAAACGGAGGACAGCTTTGATGATGAAGGTAAGGTTTCATTCATGACTCCCTTTAATGGTTGCCTTTCAATTGAGCAGTGTGATCAATTCAACAAATATATCTTTTTGCACTGACATTTAGCTGGCAAAGGTAACATTTATGCGAATAAAAAAGCCAAAACGTGAAATTAACAAAATGTCATCCTTTTAGGACTCAACGAAAACAAAGAAGATGAAAGTCCCCAACAGGAAAGTGAAGACATCACTGACGAAGAAAACCATGAAGCTGGTAAGAAATTATGCCCATCAGCAAGACACTAAAGGATTTTTTCCTTGTAAAATTAGTAGGGTTTTGTGATGTAAGGTTTTGAAATAGCTGTTAAATTATCGCAGCTGGGTAATGCAAAAATTTGCAAGTTTTTTCGTTTAAATCGAAATTACCCTTGCAAATCACGACCCCCTAAGACTTATTTCGGAGTTAAGAATTTAGAAGCAAATAGTACGGCTTGATCACTATCTGCACTGCACTGATCGTTTCGGTTCGGCGACGACTACCCTGTTGAAGGGATCCTGGAGCTTGCTACTCTGTTGTAATAGATTTATAACAAGAAGGAGTTTCTGTGCTAGACGAATACCAACGATGTCTAAAACTATTTTTTTAGTCTGTCTTAAGAGTCAATCGATGTTTCACAAATTTCGCGGTCGATTCGCTCCTTATTTACAACTCCCGACTATGTTGTATGTTCATAAACGCTGACTGTGGTAAATGTAAACTTTTCGACAAAATTACTAGAAAACAGTGTATTTATTTAAAAGATAAACCAATTATTTTCTCTATTTCAATAGAAGTAAGCGAAGATTATAACGGAGAGGAAGACTTTCCGGAAAAAACAGAGGACAGCTTTGATGATGAAGGTAAAGTTTCATTCATGATTCTCTTTAATGATTGTTTTTCAATTGAGCAGTATGATAAATTCAACAAATATATATCTTTTTGCAATCGAGCCTGTTCTCAACGCATAATTCCGCTTGGTTAGTCTTTTCCAGAATCAAAGGGGTCATTGCATCTCCATAACTAGTTTATTAAAGTTCCCGTACATAGTACAACTCCTATGGTTACTTAACCCTTTAACCCCTTGGAGTGACCGGCATCTAATTTCTCCTTACCACATCACCCCTGAATCAAACATTAAGGTCAGGAGAATAAAGGAACTGATCACCAAATAGAGAAGCTCTTGATTGCTGGATAAATTCTCCTTGTCAGCACCTAAGGAAATGTTTAGAGAACAGTATGGAGAATATGAATACTGGTGTTAGGGTGTAAAGGTTTGATTCATGCACCCATTTAAAGCTCATATGATTTTCAGAGTTGGCCTGTTCAAACCTCACTCTATTTTGAAGCTTGGATCACCAAGTTCTTAAGGTAAATGTAAATCTGAAGTGTGTATTTTCGTTTAAATGATGAAAGATCTTTTGTTATCTCAAACAGGCGAGATTCCAAATGACGTGAAAAGGTCGCGAATATTTCTCCGTAAATGTGGAGGTCATGCATACAACCGCTACAAACAGAGGTGTTGCTTTAAACAACTGATTCCATTCGGAGTGAGGTGCATCAGGCTGAGGTGCGCAAAAATACCTTATCTTTCTTTCAATCAACAATGCTGCAATGGTCAAGTAATTCCCAAGACTTCGAAGTGTATACCTCAGTCTCAACAGTGTGGCCAACTTCCCTACAATTCACAGAGTCACAAATGTTGCTTTGGTCAAATAATACCAATTCAAGTTCCTTGTTCAAGATTGCCCTGTAAACAATCCGCCTACGTTTCTCACACTCAGCAATGTTGCAACGGTCAAGTCATTCCCAAGACCTCGAAGTGTATACCTCAGTCTCGACAGTGTGGCCAACTTCCTTACAATTCACAGAGTCACAAATGTTGCTTTGGTCAAATAATACCAATTCAAGTTCCTTGTTCAAGATTGCCCTGTAAACAATTCGCCTACGTTTCTCACACTCAGCAATGTTGCAACGGTCAAGTCATTCCAAAGAGTACACCGTGTAAACCGCCCACGACGTCGGCTCGATGTGGTAGCTTTTACTATAATCAAAACACACACAAATGTTGCTTCAACCAAATTCTGCCGATCCATGTCCCCTGTATCAGACTACCTTGCAGACGAGCATACTATGTTCCCTACACTCAACAGTGCTGCCACTTACGAGTCATTCCTAAAGCTGTACCTTGTCCTCAACTCCCGACCTCATTTCAATGTGGCGGTTTTTCCTACGCTCCACAGACTCATAGATGTTGCTTTGGGCAAATTGTACCCTTCCATGTTCCTTGCACAAGACTTCCTTGCGGACAGGCCTTCTATGTCTCTCATACTCAACAATGCTGCAATTCTAAAGTCATCCCAAAAGCTGTACCTTGCATTCCATCCCCGGTGCCCCTTCAATGTGGTGGCTTTGCCTACGATCCTCAGACCCACAAGTGTTGTTTTGGCCAAATTGTACCGTACCAACTTCCCTGTAACAGACTATCTTGTGGACAAGCTTCCTACCTTCCTTACACTCAACAATGCTGCCATTCTCGAGTCATCCCTAGAGCTGTGCCTTGTCCGCAATTCCCGACCTCATTCCAGTGTGGTGGCTTTGCTTACGATCTAAACACTCATAAATGTTGCTTTGGGCAAATTATACCCTTCCATGTTCCTTGTACAAGACTTCCTTGCGGACAGGCCTTGTATGTATCTCATACTCAACAATGCTGCAGTTCTAAAATCATTCCAAGAGCTGTACCTTGTGTTCCATCTCCTGTGTCTCCTCAGTGTGGTGGCTTCGCTTTCAACTCATTGACCCACAAATGCTGTTTCAACCAGATACTTCCCATTCATGCTCCTTGTACCAGACTACCTTGCAGACAAGCCCTATACGTCCCCTATAGCCAACGTTGTTGCCGTGGTCAAGTTATTCCAAAAACCATTCCATGCACGCCATTTCCGACTCCGTTCCGATGTGGTGGTTTTTTCTACAATCCCCGGACCCACAGATGTTGCTTTGGTCAAATAGTGTCTCACCATGTTCCATGTAACCGATTACCCTGTGGCCAGTCTCTCTATGTCCCTCATACTCAGCAATGTTGCCATGCTCAAGTTATTCCCAGGACCGTACCTTGCTCAGGATCACCACTTCCAAACAAGTGTGGAGGCCTTCCATACAATCCACAGATTGAGAGCTGTTGCTTTGGGCAGAAAGTACCCATCCAAGCCTTCTGTACCCGACTGCCATGTGGACAAGCTTTCTACGTTCCTCACACTCAGCAATGTTGCCATTATCGAGTTCTTCCCAAAAATGCACGATGCTCCCCTTTTCCGATTCCTTCCCGGTGTGGGGGCGTTTCTTTCGATCCAACGACACAAAAATGTTGTTTTGGTCAAATAATTAATCACCAACTTCCCTGTTACAGGCTCTTTTGTGGTAATGTCTTGTACGTTCCTCACACTCAAAAGTGCTGCAACTCCCAAATCGTTTCCAATCGTTTACAGTGTTAATTTCATTAATTTTCGTTTGAGGAAGATTTTTATTTTCATCTTTGACGTTATCTTGTATAACAGATTTTTTTTCGCTGATAGTAAAAAGGTTAAGGGATTCTACTTAAGCGTCAGGCTTTTTCCTAAATACATTATCAGTAAAAGCGGATGATTGATAACGACAACATTGGTGGACAAACCATGTCTACCTTTTATAGCCTTTCTTTCACAAGCCACTGACGTGACTATTTGTGAGTAATTCCTTAAGCTATCAAGCAAAAAGACCAATAAAGATCTTCTACTTGATCATGGATTTGTCAGACTTGGCTTTCGTTTCCATCATTTGTATTTATTATAATCTGTACCTCGTAACTTTCAAACCGGGATTATCAGGCTAGGAAACACGGATATACCTTTCTCTAAGATAGGCGACTCCAAACAGTCTTGATAACGTCCAAGGAGCTTAAAATCATTCCTCCGCTTAGAGGGAATCCCGTGGCTCGCCAGAAAGATTATGAAAGTATAAGATTATGCCTGTTTGTGGGGATCATCTTCTTTCTTTCGTTCCGACTTGATATCGACTTAGATTTTGACTTAATGAAGCATTTTCTTTCGAAAAGTAAAAAGGAAAAGAAAAAAAAAAGTAAAAACCTAAATAGCACTTGGGTTTCACTCTTACCAACGAAATATTCGCCAATTAATTTGGCTCCAGCAGAATCCAAAAGTGACACGCTACAGTATTTTCTCTATCATCTCGTGAAGTTCTCTTGACTTTGTAGCAGAGTACTAGGTTCGCGTTTTGTTCATTGCTATGACAGTTTTTGTTGTTACTGTTTTCTGTACAAAGATTTTTAATCGCCCTCTCCCTCAGAGGCAGATACATACAGGGTCTACATCATTGTATGAAGGAGGAAGAAGTCTTACATATTCAATTAATACTCTCTTAGTTAGCGTGCCTCATCTCCTCACCACAAGTTCTCCTCTCATCTGTCGTAATATCCATAGCTCTGATTATAAGCTGATGATTGTATTCCTCGCTCCTGACATTTCTGCGTTTTGAAGTTGATGGATGTCATCATCTGAGGGAAAAGTGTACGAAATGGTACTTTTTCTCTTTCATAAGGAAAACAACATACACCATGCTGTTCATTACTACGGTACATTTCCCACAGGAATGTCATAATTTATCTCAAGTCGGAAATCAGAGATTAATCCTTTCCCTCCCTTCCAAACAGGCCTGGATGCCCAGCTGTTCAACAACCCATAACTCCCTACGAGCTTATTGCGCGCGAAAATTCATGCCATGTTCGAAAAGCGACAAAATGGCGGATGACAGGAAATGCAATGCCCTGTCTGAATGACTTGTTCGGCTTCCAGAGAATTGGTACCATTGTCAAGTTAATGATAAAAGGAGAACTTTGGTTCTTTCTCAGAAGAAACAAATGTCAGGCCATCGATTTGAGATCATTGTCACTGTAGCATAATTCCTTAAAATCTCTTCGTCATTTCTATTTCGAACTTCCCACCGTCCGGACGAATGAAACCTTGCAATGGCCAAAGGGAAGATTTCGGCTTCTTCAAGAAAACCTGCGATGTTTGGTAGGAATATCAGACAAATCAGTCAAACCGAGAGGTAGGTGTTTTGCTGCACACATGCCGTGATGTTTGAAGTCTATCATTAACCGAGTTTCGAATTACATAAATCCGATTAGCAATATATAGTTCTATAAATCCGATTTTTTCCTTGCACCGATTGATTATCAAAGTCATTATGGAGATTTTTTGTGAACTGTGTATAGTATATCGTTTGCTGAAGAACGAGTGATGAGGGTTTATTTAGTTATCTAGACAGTATACACATTCAATAGATTGTACAATGTATAATATATACGTATTTTGCAGCTCTGGGTAATATGGTAAATCGTTCGATAGATTTTATTTCGTTTGGTTCAAACATATCAAATTTTGGGCAAGATTTCTCTGCAACTTCTTGCTTCACTATGCCTACAGTTTCTGGATAAAAGAAAGCGTTGCCAGGGTCAATAGTATGCCTTTGGGTCTACAGCTTTGTTTCAGAAGAGTATGGGGTCAAAGATAAATCTTTCCATATTCCGTTTGCCCTGTAAGTAAATATCTCCCCAGTTGCATTTATTTTACAGTTTCTTATTTGTTTATTCACATTCTTATTAATTTTAGGTCTGTTTACTTTTTGTAGACTGAAAGTTATAGCACAGAAAGTGACAGTTGGGCTAACCCCATCTGATCTGATCACAGATATTGACTGTGAGATGTTTGCTTCTAAAACTGAAGGGTCATCCAATAGTGAGAGATCTCAGTCACCTGAGGAAGACCTAAATTGTCTTCACATACAAAATGATGCAACATCTCGGACAATTACTAACAACCAGGACTACAATGGATCAGAAGAAATTAGAACCAGTGAGATTTTGCAATTGCAATCAAATGGCTTCACCCCACTTGGCTTTTATGGATCAAGGAGCAAAAATTTCACTCCAAATATGAAGTTATTTGGTCTAAACAGTGAAAAAAACTTGTCGAAAGAAAATGAAGACTTGCCAATGAATAACTTGTGTGGAGTCAAGAGAAAATTGAAGAGGGAAAGAAGTTCAAAAAAAGTTAGTAAAAAGCGCAGAACTACTAGTGGTACTAAACAGCACAAAAATATGACCAATAAAGACAAATTGAACTCAGATGTTAATGACAAGGATGTTCTTGTTGACATTGATCATAAGGATATTCGAAGCAAGAACCAAAAAGAACCCTATGAATTGGTAATGAAAACTGTTAAAGAAATCAAAGATAGCCATGAAGGTGTTGTAACACCACCATCAGATTATGATTCAGAAGAAAGTGGAATTGTTCCTATTTGCAGGAAGCCAAAATCAAATATAGATGTAGCAAAATCAGTTATAAGTGAAGTTGAATCTACTTGTTCAGAGACAAGTCTTTGCAGTGGACCTGGCACAGTCTTGGATGGCTTTTGCTTACAGAAAAATGGAAATGAATACTACTTCTCTAGTTCAAGCAATGTATCACCAGTACAATTAACACCATCTAGTGAGAGCACTGGCGAAGAAGAAGAAGAAGAAGGAATTGCAATAACACATCACACAATAAACTCTCACCAGACTTGTACTGAACAAAATGAAAGGGTAGAGGTGACACTGCTGGATTACAATGAAAATGTAAGTGACTCAAGGTCAAGTGTTTCACTTTCAACATCATCTCCAGATGCTGCTGAAAGTGTTTTTACACCACAATTGTCAGGCAAGGAAGATGAATCCAGCTCATCCAAAAGTTCTCCTGAGCATCAAGCTTCCATTATGAGATATTTCAGATCATTACCAGGTCCAAAGTGCAAAACAAAGACAGTTGCAAATGGGGTTCCTTCTTCTTCAACTGGACACTCATCTGCAGAAAATTCACTGGAGAGCAAAAACAGGTTGGGTTCAAGGCTGTATGTCTATGTATCATGGAGAGACTAGCCTATTGCATGTGTTTCAGAAAATCTACATGATGTCTACTATTATAAGCTTTCAGCTTCAAATATATGCTTCACTAGTCAATGGCTATGGACAGTGTATTTGATGCTGCTACTCAATAGGGAAATATTTCTGTGTAACCCCTCTCTTTTCTAAAACAAAGCCTTAGTCCCAAAGGTAACCTATCATTCCTACCATGATTTTGGTTTATCAAAGAACTGTATCCATGATGAAGTGTGGGGTTATTCAGAAAACTTGCGCTGAATGGTTCTATAAAGAAGCATGTTTAGTTTTAGAATGGCTCAATATTTACTATTATGAAATATGTTTGTTTTTTTGCAAATTTTATTAGAATCACTCTAGGAAAGAAAAAGTCTGGAAAAAAGCAAGAACAAATGTATTTGGTAAGTTGCAAATGGTTTGTTTCAATACAACACTGTGGTTTCATAAAGATAGATCTCACCTCCAGTTCAGACACTAAAAATCACTTGCTTTGAATGGAGACTTGTTCATGTCAGGTATTGTAGTCTCTGGATAATGTATTTAAGTCTGCTATTTTGCCTTGAAATATCCTTGTTTGTTTCAGGATGAGTATAGGGATCATGATGTTTCAACTGTATACTGCTAATCTTCATTTAGCAATGAGGTCAACCACATGTGCTTGAACAATCCACATGAAAATTGACTTCAGTAATGTCTACATTTTACGAAACCTAAAACTGCAACCTTTTTTCACTCTATTTTACTTTTGTTGTTGTTGTTGTCATTGTTGTTGTTGTTGTTGTTGTCAGGACTTGGGCCAAAAAGACTTTGGACATGTTACTTGCCCTACCTGTGGTATGGTATATACTAGAGCCCAGCCTGATGATGAAGCTGCTCACATTAGACATCACAAGAGCTTTGTCAATGGACTGAAATTTACTGTAAGTTATATACAGCTGTAAATGCACTTTAAATAGCAGATTGGATCTTAGCAACATTTAGCTCCAATGACTGGTTAAGCTGTACATGCTGTTACATAGAATCCACTTCACTTGAAACATTCACATCTCCAAGAATAAAGAAATGGAGTTTCTAGTGTTCATAAAATCTTTTTTAGTACTTCTGATGCCATTTTGTGACAAGTGTACATTGTCACTGGCTAGAGAAAATTTTATTCAGGACCAAAATTTGTTTCTTGAAGGAGATGGCACCCAAATATGTCTCAAAAGAGAGGTTAACCATTACTAAAGGGTGCAAATTCACCATGAAACTTATTATCACTTTGGTTTTAAGTGAGTAGGGTATATCTGTTATCTAGCTTTTAAAACCTGATGATGTAAAGTTTTATATCTTTTATTTTGTTTGTCAGGGCTGGAAAAATGAGTGTGTAGTGAAAGAGTACCATGATGGCAGAGTAATTATGGTTGGCCCAGATGACCCGCGCCTCCACCTCAAAAAGGTTTGATAAACTACCTAACCCCAGACCCTTGTTGGCTAAAGAAATACCCCCTAAGCTATTATTTTTCTTTCTTCTTGTCACATTTATCCTGGAAAATGTGTTAATTTTCCAAGGAGTTTTTCCTTTTTTTTATCACTTCTGGGAGTGAAAGGACAAACCACTAATTCTTAAAAATATTCATTAAATTCTTGATGAGTTTTTAAACTTTGCTGTCAAATTTTAGATCGAAGAGGTCCGCAAAGTTGTTGACAGCGAGTTAGGCTTTGTAGCAGATGTACCTTACAGAAGATCTGGAGCTAAGGTTAGTGATAATCAATTACTGCTGCAGTCAGGAA